ATATATATATATATATATATATGCATGTAAGTGTTGTTATTTAAAATATTTTTCTATTTAAATTCTACTTAATTTAAAAAATATATCTGCAATATACAAAATATTAGCTAGACTTGATTTACTCTATTGGAGCTTAAGCTGGTAAAACTAATAAAGATCTACTTATTACCACATTTTAACAGAATTGTATTGACATAGTATCCAAGTCTGGACTACCAAGTGAGTTAAAATTTGATCTTTCTAACCCATTGTGCAGGTTTTAATCCTACAGGGCTCTTACATGAGAAGGAATTCTAGAGATGCAAACATGCCAAAGTGGATGAAAATTGAAAAATAGAACATTGCCTACACCTTTGCTTAGTAATTAACATTAATAAACTCCATTGAAACAAATCATGACTAAAGCACTAAAAAAGTGGTGAAGACAATTCTCTCTCATAATGAACGCAAAGGCAGAGATAATAGAACATTGTTTAATTCCTATGCTGGGTAATTATCATTAGTATAAACTCCATTGAAACAAATCATGACTAGAGCACTAAACAACTAGTGAAGGAAATCCTATCCCATAATGAATGCAAGGGTAGAGATACAACCTTCAAGATATTCTCTTCCTTTGCAACAAATTACACCAGAGAAATATCCTAAAAAACAAACTTGCCTTTTTTATTCCTATGATGAGTAATTATCAATATACACATTCATAAAGAAAAAAACCATAATTATTTGAAAAATCGCACACCACAAATGTATATTAGTTTCCTGTAGCTTCCTAACTTGGAAGTTTTCATTTTATCACATGTATATATTAGTTAAATAAAAAATGAAATTATTTTTAACCAAGTTATTTGATAAGTGTGGTGTCAAAATCTTTTCATCTAAAAGAAATTGCAACAAAGCATAAGATTGAGAGAAAAACCCCAGACAAGATGGTGAAGTTATTGAAGCTGAACAAGGTGGTGGTTGTCTTGTAGGGGCACTATGCAGGGCAGAAGGTGGTGCTCGTGAGAACCTTCGATGACAGAAAGAGGGACCGCCCCTACGTGCTACACAATTGACGTTGATCTCAAAAACACTATTACTCTCGATGATCTCGCTTTTGAAAGAACAAGAAGGTCATCTCTCTCGAGGAGACCAAGAAGTGCCTCAAGGAGAGGTTTAAGAAGTCTAGGGTTAAGGCCTTCACCAAACTCAGATACTGGTCTAAAATGCTTTTTCTCCTATTATTTTCGCGTTTCACATTCCTTATCAAAACTCTTAATGTGCTTTTAGATTTTTTGTTGGTTTTAATTGCAATTTTAATTTGAGTTTCTGAAAAAAAAAAAAGAAAACTAAAAAGTTGTCTCTTATACTCCAAGAAAGAGGGAAGGGAAATAATTTGAAGGAAATAAAAAAAATGAAATTTTAATTAATTAAAATAATGTTATCAAGAGTTTCTAAAAAACACTTGACACTTTTACGGGGTTTGAAATCAAACCTCTATAATTTAACTATAGTTATTAAAAATCCTCGTAAATGTTTATATTTCCAGGGGTTATAATAATTCTAGTTAAAAACATAAATTCTTGTAGTGAGCATTATCTAGCTAGAATTTGGTGGACCAAGTTTGCATAACAGTAATGCGAATATTGCTCCATGCTACTTATGCCTACTTTTGGGCACCAACAAGAATGAAGGCACGCACTTTGGTTGGTCAAGTGAACCAAACTACTATGAGGATCAACCCTCTTATCATCACAATTGTCTTAGATTGTAGAGAGCTAGGTAGGAGTTTCCTACTCGAGTGATTGGGAGAAGATGATCATTTTATGAACTGTAGATGTGATATTGTACTTTACTCCTGACCTGGTGAGAAGACAAAGTTGAAGAAGCATCTTCGAGTGGCCAACTTGAAGCCCTTATGCAAGCTTTTTCACAATCCGCTTTTCAACACATTCAACGCTTGGTCTAGTTATGGGGATAATGCATCTGATATTGATTGTTTTTGCCTTGAGAAAATATTTTGTTTAGGAACAATGCTTTCGCATAGACATGTACAAGAAGCTCCTGTATCAACAAGGGCTTGAATTACAAGTTCAGTTTTATTATGTTTTTCAATTTTGGGAAAATTGACTTTTATCAAAATATGAAGACTAGTATTAGGCTTTTTATTACAAATGATTGGAATGCAATCTTTGTTTTGTAAAGCCATTAAGCAACTTGGATAAATCCTAGGTTGTAATCTTCGGTACTGTAGTTGAAATGGTGGAGTTGGTTTGTAACACTACTACCATTGTAACTATCTCCCATTAAACCTTTGTAAGATTGGATCTCAGAAACTGGTTCAGAAACTACAGAAATAGTTTCTTCTTTTTCAAAAACTAATTTATTTTTGAAATTTTTGTCATTTTCTAACCAGTTTTCTAGATCAGAATCTTCCTCGATTTCTTTGAGGATAATTTGTTCTTCTTTACTCTCTTCATTAAGCTGTGAAAAGAGTTTTTGTCTAAAAATAAAATCGTCTTCCTCTTCTTCTGAATCGGAGATTTCATTTTTATAACTTTGGGAAACAATTTACTTTTGTTTTTCCCATTTTTCTACTGCAAGGAGCAATTTTTCTGAGAGTTGGCTTTTTCCTAGTGAACCCTCTTCTTTATTTGGAGTATAATCCGGAATATAAGAATATCCTGTCCATAAATTCATGAAAGAATTTCTAGGAGGTTCTTCTTCTTCGGGATTGTGTTCAACTATGTCATCATAATCTGCAAACCTAATAGAAAGGCTGTTTCTTCGGTTTGTCATGATGGCTGTTTGTGGTGCTGTAATAACAGTCCTAGTAGATCCAGAATTTAGGTGGGTTTGCCATTCAATTCCTTGGTTTCTTCTAGACTCAAAGATTTGTGGTGGAAGAAATTGTATTCCGTTTGATCTTAAAGAGGTAATCAAAGGATTTGTGTTAATCCTATATCTGGGAGATATATGATCGCTTATTCTTCCTATGAAGGTTATATCTAAGTGGAGATTTTTTCCTTCGAAATTTTCTCCAAAACCTCTAGTTTGTACTTCCATATTTATATTCTGAATAAAATCTGAAAGACTCATTGTGAAATTAGGAACTATGTAGATAAGGGAAACAGGTTGATTAAGATCAACATCAACTATCCCTATTATAGCCTGGGAATTATTATCCCTAAACCTTCGGTCAAAAAGGACAAGAAAGGCTTTGGCTCCCACGAAATATCTGGTTAAAGTTCTAATACCTATAGTGATAAGTCCTAAGTGAACATACCTCCTTTGGGTACTTAGAAGCTGTCTACCAGTTTGTTCAGAGATTAATCTAATAATCTCATGTTGATCGTCGGGTAAATGAAAGTCACTACAGCAAATAAAAGAAATAACGTCGCATATTTTGCGGCAGTTTTAAAGAATCGCCTGCGCTTTGTTAATTTTCTCTAAAAACATTAAACTCACGGCGGTTTGAGGCAACGGACGCAATTTTCAATTTTTTTCGGTGGTTATTATAGAACCGCCGCAGGTAGGTTAAAAATTTCCCCAAAAGTTAAATGTTCCCTCCCCTCTCATCAGAAACGTTTTCTTCTCTCTCGCTCCATTCTTCTTCTCTCTCTCGCTCCATTCTTCTTCTTCTCTCTCGCTCCATTCTTCTTCTTCTCTCTCGCTCATGGTCACGCCTTTGGTGCTCATTCTTCTTCTTCTCTCTCGCTCATGGTCACGCCTTTGGTGCTCAAGAGTCACGCCTCTAGCCTGCTGCTACGAACGTTGTGCACAACCACAGGTTCACGGGCTCGCAACCTCTACTTTCCTCTGCCTCGTCCAGTGAGTTACAAACTTTCTCATAGAGCAGCAGAGATATTGGGTTTTATGTTGATTGATTTTTCCATGTGGTCTTGACTAGTTGTAATGCCTTGCTATCTAATATGAGATCAGGTGGAACTGGCATTGACAGCATCTTAGAGGGTAACAGAGATGCACAAATAGTCAACTGATTGTGTTTTGTTCATTATTGGAAAATAATCGATGGTTGTTTTGTTCTTGTCATATATTTAGGGTGAGCAAAGAGGGAGGAAAGGCTGGAGTGTTGGAGAACTTTGCTAAGGGAGAGAAGTATGCAGAGCATTTCCTGAGGAAGTATGTCTGCAACAGACAACCAGAGATTATGCCCAACATCAACAACTTCTTCGTTGACACAAGTCGTAGCTAAGTTGCTCTGGATAAACAAAGGTTTATGTAAGATGTGAATTCTCTTATGTTAAAGACAACTTTTATTTTGCATTTAGAAAACAGAATGTGGTTATTTTCTCTAGCCGAACAGTGTGTATGGTGTGGTTGGGAAATACAATACTGTTGGATTTGATTTGATGCATTGCTGGTTGCTGCTGTTTTAATGCTGTCCATATGCTTGCCGCAACAATTTGTAGTGAAACTGTATTGAAAATAAAGTGAAGTACTAAACTTGTTCCTAGTTTGTTACAATTTAAATCACTGCCAGAATGCCTAAACCAATTGATTTGTTGCTGGACAAATTTTTTGACCTTTTGTTCTTCTCTTTTGTTTGATGAATTATCATCCACTCATGTGTTACTAGTTGCCAAACTCCTTAATCAATAGTTGAAAATTTTATATTTGTTGTTTATTAACGTGATGAATTTAATTGTTGTTTTCTTTATTGCTTGAGTTGATTTATGTTCACATTCTAGTTTTGCACATTGTATTGAATTCCCCAGTGTCGGTTTCAAATATTTGATCTGAATGTATTTTATGATCTAATTGAGATTTCAGTCGAAGAAAGTTTTATTTGAATTGACCATTTGGATGAGGTGTTTAGCGAGTATCTTCTGTTGAAGAAAATGAGTTTTTGGCAATACATGGCTGTGAGGTTTAGGATTCTGTTTGGAAGTTCAAAAATCAATAATGTTTTTTGCTCTCTTCTCAAATCAATCATATCGTGGGTGTTTATTGTAGGAGAGAATTTGATTTCAATTGAGATTTGCTGCTTAATTGGGTCTAAACCTAAAACATAATCGGTAAAAGGAACTAACTAATATTTTGTAGTCAAGTATAGTTACTGTAATTGAATATAACAAGTTTTATGGATTAATGCTTTTTATTAATGAATAGTTTCTTATATTTTTATGTTTAAAGCATTGAAACAAACCCAACTTCTCTATCAATTTTATTCATTTATTTTCTTTTTAAATTTCATCTTGCTAATTATTTTTAACTAATTGTGAACTCACTCTTAATTTCATACCCAAGGTTCTTGTGAAAACTGAAAAGGATACTAGTGTCTAGGTACCTTGTAACCGTAATTTATTTGGAAGCTCTTTTTTTTAACTTGTTACTATTGACGTTGTCTGATTATCAAATCTTTTGGGGCTTCTTGTACGTGTCATTTTTGTTCAAAAAAATGTTTATATTTTCCTTATTTAGCACCTTTTTAAAGTTTTATTTTTGGTTACGGGAGTCACTTCATCATCTATTGATCTACTAGAACGTATTTCAGATTCTTTCATACGAAGTTTAGAAACTGTTTGAGTATGTTTCTTCTCAAACCTGTGCTTATTTACCCAAAAAAAAAGAAGAAAAACCTCTGCTTTTATGACTTGATTCTTCAATATGTAAAGCTAGAGAAACCTCATGGACTCTTAGAGCTACAAGGAGTTTGTCTAATGTAAGTGATTTCATGCTTCACATTTCTTGGATATTTATACTCCTAGGTTCTCAAGCCTTGGGATGTTGTTAAAACTCTTTAGATTGTTCCTAGCCTCGGTGAATTCATGTCCTATGGCTTGAAGTCCATTTAATGATCTCTAGTTCCACTTATTTCGTTGTTTCTTTTGTATTAAACGATGGGATCATGTCTAATGAAAATGCGCAGTCTTTCATAAAGCTTGGTTTCTCCTGCTGTTGATCTCATTTGATTTTCATCTAACTTTTTCTGATTACAGGTTCTTAAATCCCACACCAACTTGGTTGCCTCTGGACAACTTTCTCAGTAGTTGGAGGGGCTGCATATATCTATTGAAGATTACTCTCTGGTTTTTACTCTTCAATTTCTCAGTTTCCTATGTTTATTCTATCGCTCGTGCTCATATCATTTTATATTTGCACTTAATTTTGTTGCTACAATTGCAGTTACATAGTACAGACAGAACCTCATCAAGGCTTTCTTCTAATCCTGGTTTTGTTGGTCCTTCCCGTGGATCTATTTCTACTGGTATATTTCTATCACTTGTGTTTCTACAGTTACATAGCCTGTTGCTTTGCATAAAGACATAAATTTATGCTTTCTATTTCTGAAAATATGTTGTGCTCCTTTGATATGTGCATCTGGTGTAGGGTTTGGATCTTAACTTTGCAAGACTAATACATACTGGTGAAAAAGAAGATGATGAACCATACATTAAAGCTTCTGAAGCTCAAATGGTTTTTTATGTAGAGGATGAGAAGGAACAAGGTTGGAGCATACCAGTTCATTTGAAACCTAGAGACTTTTATGATATGGGTGAACATGATGAAGAAATTATGGGATCTATTGAGGCATACCCATCACACAACTTGGAACAAATATTTCCTGATGATGCCACACATATACAATTGGCAAGAATGACTACAGATGATGATCTTGAAAATTCAACCATCAATGAAAATTTTGATGAAGATAATCAAGATATGGTTTAATAAGAGTCAAGAGTAAGAAACCTCTTTATTTGTTTTGCACAAGATATTTTTGTTTGGTTTAAACTTTGTAGTAGCTATATGTTTATCTTATACTTTTAGTTATTAAAGTTAACATTATGGTTTATGCATGTATGCCTCGTACAAGAAGACATGTTGTGGCTAGGTGTCAATCCACACTAAATGAAGAGAATAGTTTCTCCATGGGCACTCATCAAAGTGTAGAGGTTCAACTACCTCAAAGTGAGCCCATGCCAAACATTGAATCATCTTCTCGTGATGACATACATGCTACTTCACCCACTCACTCCGGATCTAGGAGGTCGACACACCATGAATATGATGTGGTTGAAGATTCATCTGTGGCTCAGAAAAAATCCCCTACCTATTGGAATGTTGATGTTATTAGTATGTATAATCTAATTTTCGTTATCTCCTTATTATAATTTATTGCAAAAATTGTTGGGTTGTTAATGTTTGGTTTATTTACATGTTAGATGAAGAGGCTGTTGTTACGCAAACACGTTTAAGGGTGCAAGATGTGTTTGTCGCCCCGCCGAGCCAACTGGTCGGCACGAGTGTTGTCTTCGCACGGGATGTGCTCGACCAACACCTCCTGAAAGCCCGCTTTTATTTTTTGATAAGCATGATAGTACTTCATCATGCTGTGATCCTTTACTTGGAAGCTTCCCCCCACTTGCTCGACCACACTTTGGAATCGGTCCGGCACTTGACTCTTGATGCACCCATATCCTCGGCCAGCCTTAATCCTGCTAATAAAGCTTCGTATTCAGCTTGGTTGTTCGAGGCTTTGAATTGGAAGCGCAAGGATTGTTCCAACGTTATCCCTCTCGGTCCTTCTAAGATGATTCCTGCCCCGCTCCCCTGGCTGTTTGAGGATCCGTCCACATGGAGGGTCCACCATTGTTCCTCGAATTGGCCCTGTGGGTGAAGTTCATTTATGAAGTCGGCCAAACACTGAGCCTTGATCGGTCCCCTCGGTTTGAAGGTGATGTCGAATTGCGAGAGTTCCATTGACCAGGCCATCATTCTTCCGGCGAGTTCTGGTTTGCTTAACACCTTAGCGACGGGACAGTCGGTGTGTACAACAATTCGGTGGCTTTGGAAGTAATGGCGTAGGCGTCGGGACGTGTGTACTAGACCGAGTGCCACTTTTTCTATCAACTGGTACCGGGTTTCTGAATCTTGTAGTAGTCGGCTGACAAAATATACAGGAGCTTGGTTGCCTTCTTTTTCTTGCACCAGAACCGAGCTGATAGCCTCCTCGGACATGGCCAAATATACAAGTATCGGGCACAGAGGATCAGGCTTCGTAAGGGTCGGAGGTGTCGCCAAGGTCGTCTTCAAAGCTGCGAAGGCTGCTTCGCAGTGTTCGTCCCACGAAAAGATCGACGCTTTCCGCAGGAGTTTTGTCATCGGGCTAATTTTGTCGCCTAACTGTGGGAGGAATCGGGATAAGGCGACCAATCTTCCAGAGAGGCGTTGCAATTCCTTTTGGTTGCTCGGGCTTCGCAAGCTCAACACGGCCTGACATTTGTCTCGGTTCACTTCTATGCCTCTCATCGACAGCATAAAACCTAGGAATTTGCCTCCCTTGACCCCGAAGGTACACTTCTCGGGGTTGAGTCTCATGTTGTGCTTCCGGAGTTCGCCGAAGATTTCGGTCAGGTCGGTTAAGTGTTCGGCCAGAGAATTGGACTTCACCACCATATCGTCCACATATATCTCGATGTTACTGCCGATCTGACCGTTAAACACCTTGTCCATTAACCTCTAGTAAGTCGCCCCGGCATCCTTCAGCCCAAATGGCTTCACTTTATAACAAAAATTGGCGTTCTCGGTTATGAACGCTGTCTTTTCTTCGTCGGCCGGGTGCATTTTGATCTGGTTGTAGCCGGAGTAAGCATCTAGGAAGCTAAATATAGCGTGCCCGGAAGCACCGTCGACGAGTCGGTCAATAGATGGGAGTGGATAGGCGTCCTTGGGACAAGCTTTATTAAGGTCGGTGTAGTCGGTGCACATTCTCCACTTCCCGATCGACTTTTTGACTAACACCACATTGGCTAGCCACGTGGTGTATGTGACCTCTCGGATAAACCTCGCCTGCAAAAGCTTTTGCACCTCAGCATTCGCAGCTTTCCTCTTCTCATCTCCCATCTTCCTCTTCTTTTGAGCTATCGGTCGGGCGTCCCGGCACACAGCCAGTCGATGGCACAAGAAATTGGGGTCTATCCCCGACATATCGGATGCTGTCCATGCGAATAGGTCTTTGTTATCTCTAACTACTCGTTTCATCCGATCAGAATCAGCTTTATTCAGTTGGGATCCTAATTGGGTGATTTGTTCGGGTTCTCGTCCCAGTTGAAATTGGACAAGGTCCTCTGCGGGCTCGATTCGCTCTTCCTCTCCTAACCGAGGGTCGAGGTCAATGCACTCGGCCAACTCTTGTCGTACCACATTTACACCTCTTGTCAACGTTTGGGGGATAACCATCGGTTGCACCTTCAGGCTGGAAAGGTAGCACTCTCTCGCTGTTTTCTGATCGGCGTGCACGGTGACTACTTGGCCGTCTCTGGATGGAAACTTCATGCACAGGTGGGGGGTCGAGACAATCGCACCCAAGGCATTAATGGAGGGTCAGCCCAGTAGGATGTTGTATGATGTGTTTGCATGCACCACGATGTATCGGATTTTGATCTCTCGTGAGGACTTCTGGTCAAACCCAAACCGAGTGTACAAGTCAATGCTCCCTCTGGTCATTACCCTTTCGCAGGAGAACCCGACTAGTGGCTCGTGATATGGCTCTAGGCTTTCCTCCGGGATCCCGAGCTGCTTGAATGTGTTCCAGTACAAGATGTCGGTGGAACTCCCCTGGTCGACCAAAGTCTTCTTCACGATGCAATTGTGCATTTCCACCGAAATCACCATGGGGTCGTCTTGGACGGGATCGACGCCTCGGAAGTCTCGGTCAGAGAAGGTGATCGGAGGCATTTTCGACGTTCTTGACTGGTTCACGCTATTTATTGATCGTACCGCTCGGAGATGTCTTTTCCGAGCGGAAGATGTGGAACCTCCCCCGGCAAAACCTCCTGCTATCGTGTTGATTATCTTCCTCGGTCGGCTGTTGTCTTCTCGGACGCTTCGGGAGTGGTCTCTCCTTTCGGTTGATCGAGACCTGTGGCGTCGGTCTCTCTGCGATGGTGCTTCGCGAGGGTGTTGATCTCGCCCTCTTGTTCGATGATCTTGCGGTGTTACAAAGTTCCCGAGATGACCTTGCTTGATGAGGTCCTCAAGTTTGTCCTTCAGCGCCGAGCATTCTTTAGTCGAATGGCCCCGGTTTCGATGGAATCGGCACGACTTAGCCTTGTCATCCCTCGGTGGTGTGTTCGCCCGCTTGGGTATCACCAGTACTTCGGATGCGAGGGCCTGCTCCAATACCTTTGGCCTGCTCGCATTGAGGGGAGTGTACGCGGTGTAACGCGGTCCTCTCGGCGGACGAGGGTTCGAGGGCTCGGCGTTCGCGGCCTTTCTCGTTGGTTCCCTGCCCGGTTCCTTCCTGTTATAGGCCTCCTCGGCCCTGGCCTAGTTACGGGTCTCCGCAAGCTCTTCCATTTGCATATACTTCTCGGCCCTGCGTCGGAGATCGTTCATGTCAACTGGTGGTTTTTTACATAAGCTATTCACAAACGGCCCCGGCTTAAGAGCAGTTATCAACCGGTCCAGGGCCACGGCCGGGTTCAGATCGCCTATCTCCATGGCGATCTTGTTGAATCGGTCCATGAAGCTCCTCAGGCTTTCCTTCTTCTCCTGACGAACCCCCGCCAAGGCTAGCGAGGTTGTCCTGTACGGCTTACTCGTTGCAAATTGCAGGGTGAATTGGGATTATAGCTCGTTAAACGAATCAATGGAGGAGCTCGGAAACCTCGTAAACCAGCTCAATGCCCTTCCCTTCAACGACATGGGGAATATTCGGCACAATGCCGAGTCATCTTGAGTTGAGAGGGTTGCTTGAGTTAGGAAAACATTCAAGCGCTCCTCGGGGTCGGTTGACCCATCGTACTTCTCAATCGGTATACTCTTCCTGTGGTCCAAAAGTGTTGCTTCCATGATCCTTCTCGAGAAAGGGTGTCTTAGAGAGTGAACACTGGTGTCGGCCTTGTTGCCTATTAGGGACGTGACTGGCGTTCGGGTCATGTGGTCGGTCGGGACGTGATACGCCGACTCTTCTTGGAGCGTGGGAGTTGACGGCACGTAAGTTTGGTTTAGGCTTCGGAGCTCGGCATTTTTCCGATGAAGCTCAACAAGTTCTCGGGCATCGGCTTCTCTCTGTCTACGGATGGCCGCCATCTCCTCTCGCAAGGCGCGCATGTCATCTTGAAGGTCGGGCTGGGCTTGGTTAGCACTCAGACGGACTTCTTGTATCACAAGGTCCGGTTGAGTCTGAGGCATCCCATACGGGTATCGTGTTTAAGAGGGGCTGAAAATGTCTCTTCGGCCCCACGGTGGGCGCCAAATGTTCCTGTGTTAGGATACACACTTCAATTATCCTTGCTATAGCGGGTCGGGTCCTGGGTCTCGGTCTTCTCCTTCTCTTCCGGGTGGTCCGATGTGAGGGGGTGTGCCTGCAAAGACACTCCAACGCTCAAATAAGTGCTCGGCGAAATAAATGCAGTAGGTGAAATCTGGTTACGTACCTCGAAGGGGGTCTATTTATAGTGTTCCTTATTGGGCCGTGATTAGGAATTGGGCCCCGGAAAATTAGGGGGTTAATCCGGCTTATTACTTAAATTAAACTATCGCAATCGTATTAGAAGAATTCCGTGGATTGGACGAGTAGGCCGATCACTACTATTTTGTGAGGGATCGGCATGCTCGGATGGTCGGTATAATGAATAATAGTTTAGGGTATCGGTCGGTTCGGTCGATTCGGTTCAAATCATTGATTCAGCTAGGTCGGGTTCGGGCCCGTACGGTATAATTTGATCATGTTATAATAAAGTCTTAACAAAAGCATACAATATTATTACTTACGAATAATAAAGGACAACAAACAAAAATCAAATATGAGATTTACGATGCTACTTTTGAGTCAATTCTCATTGTCAAAATAAAATCTCCCCAAGCTAATTAATAATATATAATGAAGAAAACACAAATATCTTAGAAGAAAATAATGCATCGTTTTTCTAATGTTTGACTGCATATATCAAATTTGTTGTCTTCCTTCATGTGACCACTAACTTTACTAACATTAGATGCATGGAAATGAAGGGAAAGTATTCTTGGCAGAGAACCATATTATGACTGACAAGTGGGAAATAAGTAACGCTTTATATTACTATTAATATTAATATAGTACAAATTGAGCATCCTTGTAAAGGGACATTTGTATTCTGAAGACTTATATTAATACAACACAGATTGAACTAGTTTATACATATTAATGGGTCATAGCATAAACTCATTGAATTATACATATATACAGTACCTCAACTAATTGGAATTGTGGGTTTTGAGTTTGGAATCTGTTAGAAAAATTTTTTTCCCCAAGGCTGCTACAAAGGTTCTAATAATATTGGTTATGCATGATGCTGTAGTGGCTCAATCCAACTAATAATATATATTTTCTAACTCTAGCTAAAATATGACACTTAATTAAATCAACTAGCTAGTAAACACTGCACTAAGTGCACACGTCTTGAAAAATATACCAGACACCTGGTGTGCATACCCAATCCCAATCCCCAAAAAAAGCAAATCAACTTAATAATGCAAGCAACTCCAAATCAATATATAATTGTTAGAAATTTTATTTTTAATAATTAATGTGGGTTACATATATTATTTGTATAGTATTTATATTAGCTATTAATTTACATTTAGTTGGGTTCAATAAAAGTGATCTAATTTTAGTGAGTCTTTAGACTATTAATACGAAAAATTGACATGGACCTAAATAAGTGAAAACCAAATTTGGTCCGTTAGGGGTTAATGGGAACCCTAATAGGATTAAAATTATAAAGATGATCATGGTTCATAATATGCCAAATTAGAAAAAACATGTCTCTGTCTCCCTATCAGAAGAGGAACATGAAGTCTCCTTGAGAAATCCATTGATTTGACTCAGGAAGATCATTGCACCGAAAACTATTCTGATGCAACCTCTAATCAACGCCAATGGATCCAAGTACATTTTAAAACTCAAGAATCTTAGTAATCTAACACAATGTATCTTACTTATTATTTGGTGATTGATAATATTCCAACAAGTGTTTTCAGAGCTACCATTAGTGTTAGATTATTTTGAACCTGCACTTGCTAGTTATTTCTGCATTTTTTTCGTAATATATACAAAAAAATTGTGAACGATCCCGGTAGGACATAATAAGAAATAAAAGAAGCATATTGTGCAGGAAGAGTCATTTCTTTTGCCTGCGATGAAATCCCGGTGCGATTTTATTTTATTTCACGTTTCTTTAATCATTTTTTATTTTATTTTTACATTAAGAACGCTTCTTTTGAGCGACAGGTCGGGCATCTCGGCATACGGCCAGTCGGTGACATAAAAACTTTGGATCTATGCCCGGCATGTCTGACGCCGTCCATGCAAAAAGGTCTCGGTTATCCCGGACTACACACTTGACTCGGTTTACGTGACACCTTTTTACAAACGCCGCGCAGTCGGTGTTCATGGTCGGCCAATAATACCCGACTCGTAGGAGTTTGGAGACGGTCGTCCTCGCTCCTGAATGCAGTCCGCATATACCCTCGTGCACTTCTCTCGTCACATAATCAGCCTCGGCGGAGTTTAGGCACTTGAGTAACGGGGTAGAGAAACCGCGTTTGTACAGCTGGCCGGCGATAACGACGTATTTGCTGGCTTGGGTTCTTAGTCGTTTGGCTTCGGACAGATTAGTCGACGTGGCTCCGCTTATGATAAACTCTCTGATTTCGGATCGCCAGTCTTGGGAGTCGTCCTGGTCGGCACGGTCGGAATTGACATTTGCCACCACTTCTGCATCGACACTAGGGCGGTCGATCTCTTGTTGAATGATCGTTTGCAGATGTCCCGGTTTTTGGTCGCGGCCAGCCGAGCCAACTGGTCGGCACGAGTGTTGTCTTCGCACGGGATGTGCTCGACCAACACCTCCTGAAAGCCCGCTTTTATTTTTTGATAAGCATGATAGTACTTCATCATGCTGTGATCCTTTACTTGGAAGCTTCCCCCCACTTGCTCGACCACACTTTGGAATCGGTCCGGCACTTGACTCTTGATGCACCCATATCCTCGGCCAGCCTTAATCCTGCTAATAAAGCTTCGTATTCAGCTTGGTTGTTCGAGGCTTTGAATTGGAAGCGCAAGGATTGTTCCAACGTTATCCCTCTCGGTCCTTCTAAGATGATTCCTGCCCCGCTCCCCTGGCTGTTTGAGGATCCGTCCACATGGAGGGTCCACCATTGTTCCTCGAATTGGCCCTGTGGGTGAAGTTCATTTATGAAGTCGGCCAAACACTGAGCCTTGATCGGTCCCCTCGGTTTGAAGGTGATGTCGAATTGCGAGAGTTCCATTGACCAGGCCATCATTCTTCCGGCGAGTTCTGGTTTGCTTAACACCTTAGCGACGGGACAGTCGGTGTGTACAACAATTCGGTGGCTTTGGAAGTAATGGCGTAGGCGTCGAGACGTGTGTACTAGACCGAGTGCCACTTTTTCTATCAACTGGTACCGGGTTTCTGAATCTTGTAGTAGTCGGCTGACAAAATATACAAGAGCTTGGTTGCCTTCTTTTTCTTGCACCAGAACCGAGCTGATAGCCTCCTCGGACATGGCCAAATATACAAGTATCGGGCACAGAGGATCAGGCTTCGTAAGGGTCGGAGGTGTCGCCAAGGTCGTCTTCAAAGCTGCGAAGGCTGCTTCGCAGTGTTCGTTTCGGATCGCCAGTCTTGGGAGTCGTCCTGGTCGGCACGGTCGGAATTGACATTTGCCACCACTTCTGCATCGACACTAGGGCGGTCGATCTCTTGTTGAATGATCGTTTGCAGATGTCCCGGTTTTTGGTCGCGGCCAGCCGAGCCAACTGGTCGGCACGAGTGTTGTCTTCGCACGGGATGTGCTCGACCAACACCTCCTGAAAGCCCGCTTTTATGTTTTGATAAGCATGATAGTACTTCATCATGCTGTGATCCTTTACTTGGAAGCTTCCCCCCACTTGCTCGACCACACTTTGGAATCGGTGCGGCCCTTGATAAGCATGATAGTACTTCATCATGCTGTGATCCTTTACTTGGAAGCTTCCCCCCACTTGCTCGACCACACTTTGGAATCGGTCCGGCACTTGACTCTTGATGCACCGAATTGCGGCGGTTACAAACTGCTGCAAATTGTTAATTAAAATGCGTGTTTAAATTTGCGGCGGTTTTCAAAATCGCCGCAAATTTTTTAAAAAACGCCGCAAATTTTTAACTAGTTTCAGTTTACAAAATAGAGACAATTTTATAACCGCCGCAATTTTATCGAATATGTTGCGACAGTTTAGAAAATCGCTGCAAAAGTTAGTCGCAACGCACAAGATTGCGACGGTTTACAAACCGTCGCAATTTAAGTTTGCGGCGGTCAAAACCGCCGTCGCTCTCACTAAAAAACCGCCGCAAACAAACAAGTTTTTTGTAGTGAGTCATCTAAACGACGGTATCTATAAAGACTAGTTCTATCTGAACTAAGCCAATTTAGATTATATAATTGTCTAGGATTTAGGGAATCTATCCTAGAATTTGTTCCAATATCTATATTGGTTTGGATGTCAATTATCACTTCTAGTTGGTGTGTGTTTGAATTTGTTCTTCTAAGAAATCTGTCCAAGATTTGGTTGGTCAAGTGAACCAAACTACTATGAGGATCAACCCTCTTATCATCACAATTGTCTTAGATTGTAGAGAGGTAGGAGTTTCCTACTCGAGTGATTGGGAGAAGTTGATCATTTTATGAACTTTTGATGTGATATTGTATTTTACTCCTGACCTGGTGAGAAGACAAAGTTGAAGAAGCATCTTCGAGTGGCCAACTTGAAGCCCTTATGCAAGCTTTTTCACAATCCGCTTTTCAACACATTCAACGCTTGGTCTAGTTATGGGGATAATGCATCTGATATTGATTGTTTTTGCCTCTACCACCTCTACCTAGGTGTGAATAACAACATACCCAATCTGGTTTACAACCATTGGAAGTATTATCTTAGACAACGAGACTAGGAATGAAGCAAAAGGGCTCATATTCCCCATGAAATGTTTTTCACTAAAATCATTCACAAGGCTGATGTAAATACCACCTGTTTGGAGAAGGGGAAAAAAGGCAATGAATTTGAAGCAAATAAGGATTTCCCATTTATTTTCCCAAGTCAATAGGAACATTGTGGAAGTGTAGACGAAGCCTTCAAAAGAACCACCATTGAAGAAGGCCAACACCAACCAACGCACTCTTCACAACCATCCACAAGCTCAAACACTTACCCGAACACCTTTCTCCCTTCCAACCTAAACACAAGCCTCTCCACCACCACCAAAAATCAAAATAAAATCCTATATGGCCAATTAAGTCCCTTCGTATCCATGTACATGAGTCTTCATTTGACTTAAAGGACAAACCAATATCTTTTCGTCTCTCTCGTCCTAAGCCTAAGTCACAACCACCACCATTTCAACCCATAACAGAAGCCCTTCTTGCCCTACAATCCAAAAAACGTCATCTTTAAGCATGCCAAAACTCTATCTCAACTAGAGGTAGAAGAGAAAATAAAAAGAATAAAGCCTTAGCTACTGAAGAGGCCAAAATTCTTGAGAAAGCACTATGTCTCTCTATTGAAGGACTTTATCTACTAAAATACCTACCAACACAACAATTTCATGTAACTAGGTTGCACAAAAATTGTCTGACATGGATGAGGGTCTTTGACCTACCTAGATTGATGCGTTTGTTGTTCAGACATAGACAAAGCAAATCCTATTCCAGTAGTCTCTGAAGTGACTCCTACCCCAAAGAGTCCAAGATGTAGCACCTGTTGAACCTGTTGCTCTTATTGAAGAAGTCTTACAAATTTCCTTTAAGACTATAAACTTGGCTAATGATAGTGCACAATTGTCACTTAAATAGTTTGCATTAGAGGTTATACCCTTGAGCGTTGACACCTCCCTATTTATACCTGATCCTCGTAGCCCTAAAGGTTTTGTCTCTACAGTACCATTAGGAGAAAATGTTGAAAATCTTAGTGCTTACTATTAGGAAGAAGCCAAGCTTGAATGCTTAGCAAAAAAGGCAACCATAGATGAGGAGTACGTTGAACCCTCTGTGTGAGACTCCATAAAGAGTTCTCTCTATGGCAACATGAAGAGTATTTATAGATGTTCCACAAGGACTAGAAATTAATCGCCATCCATCCTTGAACATGTACCTTCACTAAAGTTCACCCCTTTGATCTGTATGGTTAGCATCGTCTTGATGCTAAGACTCAAAGACTCATCAATTAATAGTGCCACAAGCTTGAAAATGAATGTTATTTTTGGGTTGCTCTATAATTAAGTTATGAGGGAACTCCTCATAATCTTCTTGTAATGACTGGTGGGCAACAAACATGCATGATCCAACGCTAGAAAAAGTTCTTTATTGCTCACTACAAAATCAAGGTTGTCCAAAATTCAGTCTGCAAAGGGAAAGA